CCCAGGAGAATGGCCTTTTCTTCATGGAAACTTCTGCAAAGACAGCAACAAATGTCAATGACATATTTTATGAGATAGGTAAGAGTTATTAGCTCGAATTATTTTCAGCATTTAATTTCTGTTTGCCGAAAAAAAAAATGTACGACCTCCGGTCGAACGAGATATCTTAAAGTTTATCTCATTAGCCTCAATGAGATCATGGGGAACAAAACACTTGAAGAAAACCCTTTCTCCCTCGGTCCAGGTGCAAATGGCCTCAATTTTCCTGTTTTCTTTCGAAAAATTGGATAGATAATCATTTGAAATTGTCGCTGTCATTTGCACTCTTGAGGCCCAATTTGTGAAAGCAAAACAAATGTGAATTTAGTATTTGTAATTGATTTTGTGTTCTACAGCCAAGAGATTGCCTCGTTTGCAGCCGGCACCGAACCCATCAGGTATGGTCCTTGTGGATCAACCAGCTGAAAGGACAGCTAGCGCTTCATGTTGCTCGTGAGAGGTTTTAGCAAACTTTTCAAAAANNCAAAAAAAAAAAAAAAATTAAAATAGAATATATTAATTTAATTTATTTTATTTTATTTGTCATTAAATTCTACGAGATCAACATTCTGTTAATTATTACATTTTGAATCTTAATTACTTGCCTTTGCTGTTAGTTGTACTAAAAAGTGGATCAAACAAGTTTGAAAATTTGAATTGATCCCATTATCAGGAGTCTCATTTATTTATCCAAGAAGTGAAAATGATTTTCGTTTCTCCCTTCATTCCTTTTTCTTACTTTATCAAGAAGTGCTAAAATAAAGGCTAATTGAATTCGAAAGTCAATGGTCTGGCAAAAGTTGGACTCAAAGTCAAAATCATTAATTATTGTAGTTTTCATTAACGAGCAAAGTGAAAATTTTCCGTAACCTAATGTATAGATTGAATTATATCTATTTTTATTTATAGTGCTGAATTTGTGCATGCGGATGTTGCATGATTTTTTTTTATGATTGTGTTTTGTTTATCTAAATTTATTTATTTGCTTTTTTAGATATGTATAATTATAAGTTATGAAATTAATACTATTTTTTATTTTCATTCCTTTATTTAATTGTGGAAGCTAGGGTTAATTTTTTATAATGTAAGGGTAATACTATTTTTTTTCAATTGTTCTATAGTATAATATTTATTTCTAATATTAACTACACTATAAATTCACACTAAGAAATTTATTAAGTTACACACTTTTAAAAGTACATAGCAAACCTTCTTCACCTTATTAAGCGGATTTTTTAAGTAACTAATTAATTTTAATGACATAGCAAAACCCGCAATCGGTATAAACACTATTTACATTTGTAAAAGTTACATTAATTATTTAATATGTTTTATGCATTCTATATGGTGATTTAATTATTCTGTAATTCTACTATTTTTCTTTTTATTAAGAATCAAATTTATAAAACCTTAATATCCATTATATAATATATAATTTTAACATAATATAATAATAATAATAATATATGTAGTATATTATTTATACCTTATTAAAACCTTCTCGATTTTTCCTTCCTGTATTAAGCACTCGGTTTTCCAAGTGGAAATCCACACATGATAATTATTGAACTAGAGTCAACTTTGTATGTATACATATACATACAAATATTATTAAACCTAATCTTCTCGAATTTGGTGACCTTTATGTATATCCACAAACAACAGTAAAAAAAATTAATTAATTAATTTTACCATCTTGCAGAGTTGCAGTATTAATTTTGCCCGCGAATCTCTCAAGTCATACTGTCCAACTGATCAGAATATTAGAATGTCAATCAAACTGATCAAGTTTAATGATATAATACAATACCTTGTACTACACGAGTAGTTGTTAAATTAAATGTACAACAAAAAAAAAAAAAATATATATATTATATATTCTGTTGAAGTTGAAAAAATAAATAAAGAACAATATATAATAATTTATAATAAAGAACTAAGTGAATTAAAAATATTATTTCAAATCTGAAACCTAATTTATATACATCATTAATTTTATTATAATATTTTTTTAAAACACCCACAAAAAATAATAATAATAATAATAATATGGACAAATCAAAAAAATTTGAAGTAAGATTATGCAAATTATAGAAAGAAGATAACAAATAAATTTATATGAAATAGTTTAAATATATTAAATATATGTATATATATGGCAATTCGAACTTAAATTATTTGGAATAAAAAAACTCCTAATTTTTATTCGAGCTATGTTATAAAGCATAATATTTGTCACATAAGATTTCGAAACGTGCGAAGCTATTACTTAAGCCTAACACGTTATGAAAATATTATACATAATAAAGGGGAATAAGGGGGGATTG